AAATATTGTGCGATTATTTTCATATAGTTAAAATTAATATGTATTTATTTTTTAGAAAATACAAGGAAAGCGGCGCTTCCACCGCTTCTAATGACAGCACGCCACTGCTATAATCTAATAATCTTAATCTTAGCTATCGTTACTTTTTGCCCGAACAACGCTTTTGTTCGCTGAACTTAGCACACTATGCATTTCTTTGGCAGAAGGTTCAATTCAGAATAACGTGCTAATCTTTAATCGTATCAGAGGATAAATGTATCGAAAATTTCAAGCTTATGTGGAAGTGAATAGGGACATTTTGAGCATTTACTTTAAAGATTTTTTCTTAGACTATATTTTTGTTTGACTTTTATATTTAATAGATTGCATGTATAAAACTGTGATACTGTGATATTTATTACTGTATTTGATAATTAAAATAGCCATTCATTGATTCTGTTGGGTATTTAACACCACTTGCATAGCTTTAACAAATGTTTAACAGTTATGTCAGGCTTATCGGTATAGGTATATGTACAGGTTATCGGTTATTCGTGCATCACAAGGCTGCAGCCACCATCAAAATTTTAAGATCCCTTATCTCTTCAGGGAGACTGCGGCGACCCCGAGTTCATAGGACCAAAATTACTTGTATTGACCTCCTTTACCACCCATTTGTTTTGTCGGTCTCACATGACCGACAAAATGAAATGAAAATTAACATTTTGTACATACAGTACTTTCTCCCATCATTTTTAAGAAATCCCTTTTTCCAAACCCATCGTGGGTTCAGTCAAACTCATTCTAGGATTGCCAATGGTGAGGGATGAAACACAACATATCCGGGACAGACAATCCCGAAAAATTGCTGCGGTTTTTCAATCTCCCAGATTCGATCACGAGTCCTCTAGAACTAATGGCTTAACTGTCTCGGGTATCCGATCATCAAAACCTGTAGTTTAGCATTACATAAATTAAACAGTTAGCCTATTAGTTCCGGTTATAATTAAAGTGACTTATCATATCAAGACGAGAAAGAATACAATCATAAATAGCCAAAAATCAGAATATTCCAACGTAGATTTAATTAATATTAGGAATATACAGCATTTCGTGTACTGAGCCCATGAAAGTTAGACATATTGTATTAACATAATAAGTACAATATATAAGTACAATATATAAAATATTGTAAGAAGCACAGTTTACAGACTGAAGTTATTACAAATAATACAATAAACTGTGTATACAATTATTCTATAAATTAAATAAACATTTAGAATGACACAGATATAAACCTTGCCTTTCAAACGTCCCCATAGAAATATATCTACCAGACTTAAATCGGATGATCGCAGTCCTGCCACAAACCTGACGAGACAACCCCCTTTCCTAAATCGACTGGATCTCACCACTATGGAAGAGATCCAGTCGATTTGTCTTGCTTCTCTTTATGGCATTTAATCAATTCTGCTTGAAATAGTAAACGTTTTGAGACCTATTTCGTGTTGTTATAGGCCTATGAATGTGTTGCAGAATTATTTGCATTTTTAAATGGTCGGCCTCGAGTAGGACACCCTTTTTTATGCACAGTCTTTAAGTATGATAATACAGTGCATGATTATATCGTATTAAGGTTGACTGAAAAACGTGCAGAAACATCAATGGACAAAATTGGACATTATTGCACAAAATCAATATTCACAATGATTTATGTGTATTTAATATTTATTTTCCAGACATATGTTGTATAAATTAGTGATGGTGAGAGTGTATCGATACTTTTGTCTCCATACGCTCGATACTTGCGATCGATAATTTTTTACTTCGACTCTGTTGATAATCGATACTTTTTGTGCGATATAGCAGATACGACGATTTCTGCGTTTAACTGAGTAGGAATTGACTAAAATGTTTACTTCATTTGCTCAAAATGTCCCCATTTACTTCCACACAAGCTTGACATTTTCGATACATTGATCCTCTGACACGATTAAAGATTAGCACGAGGAATTGACAAAAATCCAGGAATTGACTAAAATGTTTACTTTTAAACATAGTCGTTCTGCCTCACATAACATACAACACGCTGCATACATATTCTCGCAAGCGGTGTAGTCAGATGCTGAACGACAGTTGTGGGTAAATTTGTTTGAGATCGTAACCTAAAATAGCCAATTGCAATTATTAAATGGTTAAAAAGTTAGCCAAATAATAATGTTTTATATCCTTTATTAACATAATTAAGGTATTTTTTTATGAGAAAAATTAACTGCCAAGAACAGAAGACGTTTATTACATTTTAATTTTTTAACCGATATCGCACTATCGACAGACTTTCTACGATATAATGATACCGATTATCGACCAAAAAATAAACTATCGATAATAGGATTATCGATTGTTAGCGGTCGATATCCACCCCTAGTATATATACGGTTCATAAAAGCTAATTATGAGCGAAATACTAGTATTTCGGATTATTATCGGCTACTTTTTAGAGGGTGCCGTATTATTGGACATTCCGGAATATCGAGTGCCTTCTTCGAGAGAACTTCTGTAAAATAAGTAATTAAAAGCTTTGAAGTAAATCAGTAAATAGCTTTATTTATATCTTTCTTCAACTCTTAAAACAGGTCATATTGGATATAGACGATAAAGAATGAAAAAATGAAACAAAAGTTTTTGTAATTATTATCGGACCAAAGTTGAAGTTTTTTAAAAAAGTCCAGAGACCTTAATTAACTTAATTTAATAAAATGATAAAAAGCTCACAATGCTAATAGAAAAGGAGAACAGTATGATAAATTCATTAAAATTTTTTCAGGAAAGTGATAATTAAATATTTAACATGTACTATACCTATTATAGTTTCAATTAAAAAGGCTGGCGATATTTTACGTTAAAATACACGAAAGAAACTAAAATGACTTCGTATCTCCGTCAAGACTGTTTCTAGTGATTGGACATGACGGATATATAAAGACGTTTAGTTTCTTCCGTATTTATCATGTATACATGTACAGTACAGTATATATAATATTTTAATGAATAAAGATGTGTTCAGCTTTTTACTCAATTTAAAAGATTGCATATACGTTATACGTATAGAAAATTAGAAGTTCCATTAAGCAATTTAATCATGAAGACTTGCCGCATTTATGAAATATTACTCATAATACAGTATTTCATTTCTTCATTCAATAATCGTTCATTTCAAGCTAGAACCCTTATCCTTTTTAAATTACATATACCACTTAGAAAAGTCTGGATTTTGCATGTGAAAGAGCGAAAGATATTGTATCATAACATGTATTGAATGGAATACTTCCTTTTGTAACTATAATGAATATTTCAATTCTATTAATTCAAAACTTCAGAATTTATTCAGTATGCAATGTACTTTGATATCTTATCTGTAGAGTCCAAGATTTTATGTCAAGTAATATGAAAAATTATAACAAAGATGAAAACGGAAACCTTTAATAAAAGGTTTCCGTTTTCATCTTATAATTTACATATTGTGCGATTATTTTCATATTGTAACGTACTTTGAATTACTTAAAATTAATATTTTATTATAACCGCATTATGTATCTTATTACAAGTTTCTACACTACATGTGAGAAACAATGATAAGATTGCTATTTCCAATGGAAGCGCTGTATTGACGAATATGGGTTAGCTTCTATACGGAAAACATTTGAATGGTGTAAAGCAGCCGGATTACAGGTATTCGCGCGCTCACCAACCTCACGCGGTTTAGCTGGTGAATGCTACACCAAAATATCATATAACGCTTCCAATGATTCTATCCATTGGCCATTCGTAGGAAGCTATTGCATTGACTAATTGCATTGTTTTCAGATTTAAAAAGTAAAGAATATTTTATGTTATTTTTATGTACAGTAATACCCCGAACTTACGCGATAGGTGGGACCGAGCGGTAACCGCGTAAGTCGAATTCGCGTAAGTCGGGGTATAATTTCGCATATGAATACATACAAATAATTTTTAATTGGGGCCGGAGACTAAAGAAGACAATAATTTAGAAAAAAATGTTTAATAAAATCTTAGATAATTTTGATTATTACGCCATAATTTTAACATTGTTTCCATCTCAGCGATAATACTGTGACGTTTACGAATGATGCTTGAATTTAAAGATTGAGCATTTTTCACAGCTTCGAGAATTTTTTCTTTGCCTTTTATAATTTTTCTGACCGACAATTCCGGTAGATCAAACTTCTTTGCCAATTCACAAATTTTCATTTTTGTATCGAAGTCTTTAATAATGGGTACGTTCGTAAAGTCAAACGAGTTAAACGCGTTAGTAACGAATCGTTCGAAAAGTCTAATGAAATAGGAATAACGATGACGTAAATCTCGCTTAACTCGTTCGACTTTACGAACATACCCAATGTTAACTTTACATTCCAAAGATAAAGTTTTTCTTTCCTTGTTTGATGCAGAAGAATTAGTTCTACTTCGTTTGGATGACATAGTAGAGTGCGCCACTGGATTATAGACGATCTTACCCGTTTTCACCGGGTGCAAGAATTAGTCCACCTACTTTCGAGATTAATTAGAGAATTTTTAGAAAATATGTTCGATTTCTCGCAAAAACTCGAAAAAACTGCATCTAAAATAGTACAGTGGAATCCGAGTTTAAATAATCCTTAACCGTCCCTCTCCCCCGCCGGAAAGAATTTCGGAAAATCTCTTCTTAGTGTACATTCTCATGGCGTATTCCCGCGTTTCTTTATGCAGCTAGAGTATAGCGAAATGACGTCACTAGCAGTATTGGCCAATTAGAAACCAGGGGCCATATTCTGGTCACTGTCTCTGGTCTCTCGCCTCTTGCAAGCCGGTCGCTGATTGGCTAATCCAAATGATTTGCCAATCAGCGACGAGAGACGAGACCAGAGAGACCTACATATGCCGTACGTTTCTATATTCAACGGTTGACTCAACGGTGAGAAAACGACGTTTCTAAATGGACCGTTGAGTTGTCCGTTGAGATTAGTGACGTCAGCGCTGTTTCATCGTAGAGCTCTACGGATTCAACGACCTTAAACGCTGTTGAGTAGACAACGAACTAATATGGCGGCTTCCATGAAGCAAGTAAACTTTTTGTATAAAAATTGTCGATTCACTCTTGCTGTGGACGATGTAATAGCGGACAGATTATTGAAAGGTAAATATATGATAAAACGTGATTGTAGTATTATATTGTATAATTTGGTCAGCATTGAAATACTAAGCTTTCTTTTTCAGAGGCCAACTATCTCAATGAATTCTTTAAAAATTTAATTGGAACAGATATTTGGCCGTCATTAGGTTTGCCTAATGACTTAAATATTGAAGATATCAAACTTATTGAAGAATTCAAACTTATTGAATCTAATATAGAAAATGATACAGGTAAAAATTTTTTTTTCGAATAATACTTACGTGAATTACTTTAGTTATTAATTTTTGTATTACATTAACAGGAAAGAAGGACCAAAATTATTCAACGAAGAAAAGAGGTAAGCATATGATTTAGCATCTGTCTTCCAGCAAATGAACATGTCATAAAATCAGAAATAATTTTAGTTTAGCTATTCTTGACATTTTTTTATTTCCAATTTTACAGATGTATGGACAGATGCCATTATTAAGTTACTAATTTCAGAGACTGGCACTTGAGGAGCAATTTGGAAAGCCAGGAAACAAAAAAAAAATTATGGATGAAAATACACAGTATAATGGCGTCACAAGGGTATAATTTAACTGCTGAAGACTGTGATATAAAATGGAGAAATTTAATAGCAACATATAGGAAAAACAAAGACAGTGCTAGAAAGAATGGCGAAGGTTGCATCACCTGGCCATATTTTCAACTATTAGATGAAAAATATGGTTACAAAACCAACATATCACCTCCAGCAGAAACACTATTATCTTCTCTTCCTAGCCCTATCTACTCCCAACCTTCACCTATTGACACATCGAATTCTTCCGAAAACTCTACCTTTGCAACTACTTCTAGTCACAATTCTTCCTCATCCTCTCCAATCCCTCACCAAAGTGATACTCCACATTCAAAAAAACCAAAACTGTCAAAAGAAGAACCTCCAGCATGGTTTCAAAACTATGTTGAAAATAAGAAAAAAGAAGATAAAGAAAAAGAAGAAAGAGAAGAAAGACGTTGGAGAGAATTTGAAAAGATGGAAAAAGAAAAACTTAAAGTTATGAAGCAATTATTAGAAATATTAAAAAAATAACTGAAATGCTTTTATGTAGGGGAGATCGGGGCAAGATCGGCATGTTAAGCTTTACTTAAATTTTGTGTAATAAATACTGCTGTAAACTGAAAAAAAAGCTTTGCATATTGTCTATTGGAATGTTACCTTACTATAGAACTGGTTAAAATCAGTTTGGAAATAAAAATAATTAAAATAATTACAACTTTACAAGAAGAGAGAAATTGACGAAGTTGCCCCGGGTATAGGGGCAAGATCGGCAACTTCTCTCTTTTTGTAAAGTTGTAATTATTTTAATTATTTTTATTAAAGTTGCCCCTGGTATAGGGGCAACAGTAATGGGGCAAGATAGGCACGTATATAAAATTATGTTATTAACAATGTATAAGTTGGAATTCACTATTAAAACAAAGAAATACAAATCCAACACCCATTTAATATTATTACAACGAAATGCAAGTTCAAAGACATATATACATGAATAACAAATGCAAACATGTTTTCATTTATCATCTGTTTGATTTTTATCCTTTGCTTCTAATGTGGCTTTATGTTGCCGATCTTACCCCGCTAGTCATGATTTCGAAACATTAAGTACAACCCTGAGAACAGAATGCCAAGCCACGATCTGGCCACGTGAATAAGTTGAAGTTACATCCTTCTAACAGGAAAAGTAACTTTCGTTATCATGGAATTATAACAAAACCTGCCAATTCAATATAAATGGAAAAAAAATATTATATGGAATTGAACGAAAATGAAAATTTGCTTGATAATTCAACTACGCTTGTTGGAGAACAATAAAAACACTACACTCAACAAGCCACTAATAAAACTCAACTGCCTAACCTATAACCAAAGTCTCCTTTTAATTTGTTTTTAAAAAAAAGCGCTTGACAAACTTGCCCCGCATGCCGAAGTTGCCCCGATCTCCCCTACATATTTTTATACTAAATAAATATATATATCGTTTATAACTATAATTTTGGTGTATTCTTTAATTTGTGGATTATCTAGAAAGAAACTTTAGATGGAAGTTTTAGGGATGTTTCAGCACATTCAATTTCTTAGTTATTATTACTGGTTCTTGGTATATATGTATATTTTTAAGTTTGTGCATTAAATATAAGACGAAGCGTGTTTTACTAACATTGCAAAGGCTCATGGACAATATCTTTTAATAAAACACTTTTCTGTAGCTTCAATAATTTCAATAGTATAGAGATAAACATTTACTCTATATCAACTATGCTTAATACAATCTAAAAGATTTATATTGTAATGTTTGTAAATCACAATTCATAAGAAGTTACCAATTATGTATACTAATAAATATTTTATTAATGTAGTGTTTATCTGTTTGACAAACTTGGGCAAGTAGACAAAAATTACAATTTCATTACTTTTACTCTCATTATATAAGAGTAAGTTTTATTACATTACATTACAGAAATCTACATGTTAATTATATATAACAATTTTAATAAGAGAAATTTGTTTGTTAAATTACGTTAACAATTTGCCAGTAAAAATAATCTATTAGCAATGTGTTCTCTTTTTTTTACTCCATCAACTCTATTCACTTCTGTTCTTTGAGAAAAATTTACAGGGACAGTTGTATTCCAAGATGATGCAGAAACATTATCAAACACATCTAAATATTCATCATTCTCTAAAATACATAAATTATGCAGAATACACGCTGTTACAATAACTTGGGGGATTCGATCAACTCTAAACATAAACAAATGGTTTAGTCTTCTAAATCGCCCAAATAATTGTCCAAATGCTTGTTCAATGACGACCCTACTCGAACTTAAAATTTGATTAAAAAGTTTCTCTTTCCTTGTCAAATGACCATTGTCTTTATAGGGTATCATCATACTTGAAGAAAGTGGATAAGCTCCATCTCCAAGGAGATGGGCCCCTTCTGGAATCATAGGGTTTTTTTCTAGGGCTTCACATAGTGGTGAGTTGCTCCAAACTCTGCAATCGTGTGAAGATCCTGGCCACCCTGCAAACACATCTGTAAACAATAATTTAGAATCACATACTGCTTGAAGAATTACAGATGTATACTGCTTTCTATTAAAATATGCGTTTTTTGATGCTTTTGGGGCTGATATTGATATATGTGATCCATCTATACATCCAATTACATCTGGAAAGCTTATATCTCGTAAGGTCTCAAAGTTCCTTATGGTGCTTTTAGCTTTTTCACCTTTGGGCCAAACAATAATTTTAGATCTTAACGAAGACACGGTTTTAATAAAATATACAAATTCTCTATAGGCATGTCCTCTGCTTATTCCAAATCTGTCCGCAACGCCACGAAACGACTCCTGATTGCCTAACAACCATAGAGACATCAATACAACTGTTTGTAGTGATGTTTCTCTTAGTCCTGTTCGACCAGGGCCAGTCCTTTGTTCAGGAAGCTGTTCCATTAACCTCTAAAATAAAATATCATATTATAGTATAACACAATTATTTATTTTTAAACATTAATAAAAAGCTAAAAAAGCCGAATAAAGCAATTTTTCTGTAGATAGTTACTACAGCTAACAATTCTTAGCAGAGACTTACTTCGACAGTGCTTCTAGAAAGACGAAAATGAGACTTAAAGTCCATGTCGTTGTATCTGGGAACGATATTTTCGACATAGCCTTCTATTTTGGCTTTTTTCGATTTTTCCACTGCAGCAGCATACAGAAATGGAATATCTTCATTATCTTTTTTAGATTTAAAAAACATCTCGTAACCCCCTCTACTCTCAGAAATACTATTTAATAAAACAGTCATAATCGCCACCTTCTCGTTAGTTAAGTCTGCCATCTTGAAAAGCGACCTCTCAACACTACTCTCAACGAAAGCGTTTCTTTTTTCTACAAAACGTGACGTCAGATCGTTCAACGGAGGGACTCAACGAAAAATTCACTGTTGAGTCAACCGTTGAATATAGAAACGTACGGATGTATAAATTTACTTTGGTATTATTTTAAATTTTAAATAACTTGTTGATAAATTTTAAAATATACTATGCCGAAGCCGATGAGAAGGGAGGGAAGCTGAAGAATTTTTTCGGCCCTCCGAAGGATAAACTTCGGAGCTCGTATTGGTTCTTACCCTTATTAAATGAATGTTATTTTTATTAATAGAATATAATTCTTTAAGATTGCTTTTTATTAATAAAGAAATATTCTACATTTATCATTTGTTCCAAAAAAAAAAAAAGACTAAACGATCCGCTCAAGAGGCAAAAGCGGCCTGCTCTATACAATCTCTAGACAGCTCTGCTCATGATACTGTGTAGTTCTGTTGTTTATATCTCGCACGAACTGTATCAGTTTTGCATAATTATATACTACAGAAAAATATATTTATTATTAAATTTCGTCGTTAATTTATGTATAAAAATTAGGAAGTTTGTTTGTTTATTCGCTCTGCACCTCTAGGCCGTTCGACCAATTGCTACGAAACTCGGCAGTTACGTTAACATACTTCTAATTTACATAATGTCGTACAGTACATTTCACTCCAAAATAGCGATTGAATTTATATTAGTGTTGCAACGAATAGTATATTCGGCCTCAGGTCGAATACGGAATATTCGGCCAGGAGCGTAGCCGAATAGCCGAATATTCGGCCAAACTATTCGGCTTGATTAACGCACGTACGAAAATTGGCACGCAAACCGCATTATGGCAAGGACCTGCTCTCCATTGGCCCACTGTCACTACGCTTCGTCAATCGCGTTAATTCTTGACAATTGTAGCGGACAATGAGCGTCATGGCAGTATGTGATAAATGATTATATCAAATGTGAATAACAATGAAATGACCTACACGTGTAAATAACGGAAAAAGAACAGAGAAAGACCGCGAAGTGAAAATGTGAAAATAAATATGACATTGAGTTGATAGCATAATCGAACAAGTCGAAGCAACTTATTGGCGCGAAATTTGCGGCCGTCAATGCTAAACAAGCATTGTCATAGACTTCGGAAAGCTATATGCTTGTAATGAAAGTCACTTAGCGTGCACGGGCGAAAGCCTGGGACCGTTCGGGCTATCAAGCTGTCTCGAATCTGTGAAATCATAACTGTGACATATACCTATCTGTCTCTTTTCTCCGTTATCACCAGGCTATGAGTCACGTAATTGTAAAATGGAAAAACTACGTCGGAAAAGTGACGAATCGAAAGTATCGTGAGTGCGTATTATGATGTATGCATAGGTATACGTGGACTAGAGAGATAGCGGAAAGAGAAAGGAAAGAGCAAAGACGAGCTCTTAAAAAAGGATAGACAGGGTCAGACACTCAGATGTGTGTGACGATTCTCGAACGAATAGGTGTGTACGTGTGCTGATATTTGTAAGTATAAATTGTAAATACATGTGACTAATATTATTATTTTTTATTATGTGGATGTTATAAGTTACAAATAAATATAAACAAACAACATTAACCCGATAACATTAAATCTAAATACCAAAATGATTAATTTACTGTGTTTTTGTTATTTCTTACTCCCGTTTTTAGGTATCCTATTTTTCGCTATTCGGCCGAATAGCGAAAAATAGGCCGAATACCGAATAGTAACCGAATATTCGTTACATCACTAATTTCTATACATTAATTAATTTCTGTCTATATTCGATTAGCTGTCTGTAGCGCTATCTATTGGCAAAATAATTTAAAAAATGATTTAAAAAGAATATAGTTTCTAAAAATGTATATTATATTCATTTAATTTAATTACTGCAAAAATAATATAGTGCGAAATAGATGCGCTGTATCATTACTGTGATAGATAGCATATAGCACTTGCCTGCGAGGAATCGGAAGTGTTACCCTTTAAGTAATTAATTTTTCATATCTAACGACTCGGGTTTTTTCATTTCTGAACAGTACTTTCTTAATTCTAATAAGCGCTCTCCAGTAGCCGAGTGGGTAGAACCCAAGGTCTTAGATTATCAGGTTGCCTCATAGAGAAGAAACGCTTCTCATTGGTTGCTTATTTGACGTCACTCNATTCCAAAATTTCCTTCCCTTGCTTACAGTAGTGAAGCAGTAGCTAGGCCTCGGCTCGACTACGAATGACGTATATCCGGAATCTGGCAGGAAGTGGCTAAATCGGCTGTATGAGGCAACCTTATAAATCTAAGACCTTGGGTAGAACCACCGAACACTGGTAATCGGTCGTGGGTTGGCTCATAGCCAACTGTCTGGCCATGTGAAGTTTTCCGGGGTTTCTTTACGTTAGTAACATCTAAATAGGGGCCATCTTCACATAAAAGTCTTTCCGGGATCATCTTTCTTGGCAAATCGCTTTCGTGTCGCGTTGCCTTAACTAAATAAACCAAACTAATTCTATTAACTTTTCTATAAACGGATATTTACGTGAACGCACTTCCCACGCATTTTGTACAATCTGTTGCAAAAATATAAACACTTTATTAACACATAAAAGCAATTATTCTCGCATTTTTATAAGATTATTTTATTTAGTTATATGAAATCTTTCGGACGTTAAGGTTAGCGAGTTCGATCATATGCAGAGCAATCACAACTTATTTAACACGGATCACTTTTCAAATATTAAATTAATAGTAGAACAGTATTAATTAGTAATTGTTGACCATCTTCTCTACCGGGAGGAGGTCAACGACTACTTTTGATCGAATTACTTCAACCTCCTTCCGCAAAGGTCCCTTCTTTCTTTGGACGAGCGTTATGGTGGCATTCGAATAACAAAATAACATGATATAAAGTTATCAGCCAGCACAAAATATGTTTTAAGTGGTTTTCGAGAGTGCCGAGTTTAAATATTTGGTCCATTTTATGCGAAATTTAATTCGTTGGCAGACTACAGTTTGATATTCGGCTGTAAATCGCACAGTTTCTTAGCGATAACATCAGAAAAAATTAAAACATTTAATATATTGTATTTCCGATTTCTGTCTAGTTGATGAATGAAATTGTGCCGTTTCGTACCATCCGAGTATCGCGAAAAAGCATGACAATACTAGGCTTAAATAACAAACTTTATATGGTAACCGTTTTAATATTTGTTTTATCATAGTATTTGATTTATATAACTACGAAGGTTATCTTACGTTAGGGTTTATCACACCGAGTGACCAATCTAACGCATTTTAAAAATTCTTTTTTCCTCTACTGTATACAATTTAAAGAATTTTTATATAATATAATATAATGTAATAGAAGGGTTAGAAGTACGAAGTAATTTAATAAACTTAATGTTATTTTTTGCCCGGGCAACGTTAGGCTTACCTGCTAGAATATACTGTATATGTACTGTACAGTATATATGTATAAACTTATATATATAATCATAATTATATATACAGGTCGATTATATAAATAAAACAAATTTTTAAAATGAACCTTGATCCAAGTGAGCCAAGGTTGTTGGCACCAAGCCAACTATAGATAAGCGTTACTGGCAAAGTATAGAAATGTCACGCAAATCCGGAATTATGAGGTTTAAGGTACTCTTTAGAGTGGCAATTTTTTAAAATCTACTTATCATTTTTATGATAAATAAATAAATTCTATTGTGTTATTTTTAATATTTTCCAAACGATTTTTCTTTAATTAGAAATAATAAAAACGTGATTTAATTTAGAGTAATGAAGTGGGCGTGTTGCCTGGTAAATCGACTTAAATACAATGGATAAACAAACAAATGACATACAAGTCCTCACCGTCATTTCGTTATATATTCATGAGGAAAGAGACTAATGCATTTGCAAATGAGAATAAGAATAATTCCAATAATATAATATTACCCGAATTTTTTTCTTAAAATACAAATTGCATTTACTATAGTTCCATCTTTTTTCAATAACGTAAACCTGTGTTTAATTAACGACACCTAAGCCACCATTTAATGTCAAAGTGAATAAACATGTCATCATATTCACATTCGCCATTCTAAATTTCGCACAGCCCACTCTATACTTGGCTGGAATTGCTTATTTTTGATTTTGTACTGCTTATCATTTTTTCCTTTCCAAATACTTATTCTTTGTTACTCATCTACAGTGATGAGGATTTAGCCTTCCTTTCCAAACAACTCACTACATCCGTCTTTATTTGCAGATTCTCGAAATTGGGTAAATATTTATCTTACATGTTTTCATTAATCTTTCTTATAGTAGCGCGTTATCGTATGGGCAAAAAGGGCAATTGTATGGAGCACCAAACAAACCTTTTATAAACTCATTATTGTAATAAGAATATCGAATTAAAATTGATGCCATGTCAGAGGACTCTAGATTGCAGGTGCAGCGCAGAACTTAAAGAAAGTTATATGACGTCTTACGTAAATATACTGGTATATTAAAATATTTCATTAATGTACTAACATTATCTTAATTTATTCAGGCTATACACATCAATAAGTAAAATTCAAAACCGTCAACGCAAAATAACCTCTTATGAGACTGATGATGGCTGCCATCTTGTTTGCTAGCGTGTCTAGCACCGAAAAAGAGGCTTGAAGTTTGCCTACAAATGCAATGTGATATCATATAGCCTATAATTATGGTTGTCATAATTGCCAAGCATTGATACGGGACATTTATTTAAGTAGGGGAGATCGGGGCAACTTCGGCATGCGGGGCAAGTTTGTCAAGCGCTTTTTTTAAAAAACAAATTAAAAGGAGACTTTGGTTATAGGTTAGGCAGTTGAGTTTTATTGGTATCTTGTTGAGTATAGTGTTTTTATTGTTCTCCAACAAGCGTAGTTGAATTATCAAGCAAATTTTCATTTTCGTTCAATTCCATATAATATTTTTTTTCCATTTATATTGAATTGGCAGGTTTTGTTATAATTCCATGATAACGAAAGTTACTTTTCCTGTTAGAAGGATGTAACTTCAACTTATTCACGTGGCCAGATCGTGGCTTGGCATTCTGTTCTCAGGGTTGTACTTAATGTTTCGAAATCATGACTAGCGGGGTAAGATCGGCAACATAAAGCCACATTAGAAG